AGTCCAGAATATGGGACACAGAAGGACACATTTCACTATATGGGATAAGGGACTCAAGAGGACACATCAAAGTACAAGGGACACAGGAGGACACATTCCAGTATATGAGACTCAGGAGGACACATTCCAGTATATGGGACACAGGAGGACACATTCCAGTATGTGAGACACAGGAAGACACATTCCAGAATTCGAATATAGGAGGACACATTCCAGTATATGGGACACAGGAGGACACATTCTAGTATATGGGACACAGGAAGACACATTCCAGTATATGGGACACAGGAAGACACATTCCTGTATATGGGACACATCAGGACACATTCCAGTATAGGGACACATCAGGACACATTCCAGTATAGGGACACAGGAGGACACATTCCAGTTTATTGGACATGGGAGGACACATTCCAGTATATGAAACACATCAGGACATATTGCAGTATTCGGGACACAGGAGGACACATTCCAGAACTCGAATATGGGAGGACACATTCCAGTATATGGGACACAGGAGGACACATTCCAGCATATGGGACACAGGAGGACACATTCCAGAACTCGAATATGGGAGGACACATTTCAGTATATGGGGCACAGGAGGACACATTCCAGCATATGGGACACAGGAGGACACATTCCAGTATATAGGACACAGGAGGACACATTCCAGTATATGGGACACAGGAGGACACATTCCAGAACTCGAATTTGGGAGGACACATTCCTGTATATGAAACACATCAGGACATATTGCAGTATTCGGGACACAGGAGGACACATTCAAGAACTCGAATATGGGAGGACACATTCCAGTATATGGGACACAGGAGGACACATTCCAGAACTCGAATATGGGAGGACACATTCCAGTATATGGGACACAGGAGGACACATTCCAGCATATGGGACACAGGAGGACACATTCCAGAACTCGAATATGGGAGGACACATTTCAGTATATGGGGCACAGGAGGACACATTCCAGCATATGGGACACAGGAGGACACATTCCAGAACTATATGGGACACAGGAGGGACACACACATTCCAGTATTCCAGTATATGGGAACACATCAGGACATATTGCAGTATATGGGACACAGGAGGACACATTCCAGAACTCGAATATGGGAGGACACATTCCAGTATATGGGACACAGGAGGACACATTCCAGCATATGGGACACAGGAGGACACATTCAGAACTCGGGACCAGACACATTCCAGCATATGGGACACAGGAGGACACATTCCAGTATATGGGACACAGGAGGACACATTCATTCCAGTATATAGGACACAGGAGGACACATTCCAGTATATAGGACACAGGAGGACACATTCCAGTATATGGGACACAGGAGGACACATTCCAGTATATGGGACACATCAGGACATATTGCAGTATTCGGGACACAGGAGGACACATTCCAGAACTCGAATATGGGAGGACACATTCCAGTATGTGAGACACAGGAGGACACATTCCAGAACTCGAATATGGGAGGACACATTCCAGTATATGGGACACAGGAGGACACATTCCAGCATATGGGACACAGGAGGACACATTCCAGTATGTGGTTCACATCTCAGTCTATGGGATACATCTCAGTACACGTACAGGGACACAGGAAAACATAGTAGGAGACACAGACAGACAAACTTTTGGTGAGGGACAGTGGGAGTTTGGTAGAGACATTGTAGGGGAGTACATTTTATCGTGGAACATAAAGTCTACCATTACTTATTTCATTTTGAAAAAAAGTCGCAATAATGGAACGCGATGAAAATATTCTTTGTTCTGGGTTTGAAACTAAGGAAAACGTCAGGGAGGCCTGTTTGAACATGACTTGTCACTTCCACGGTGACACTTGTCTGAACGGTGTCAGATCACGCCTCATAGAGATAACCGAAATTAAATGTCAGATTTCTAAACTGAAACTTTGTTCAGAAATATGCCAAAAGGAATCATTTGTCTGCAGTGGAGAAAGCAATTAACAGATTGTTTAGTGAAAAATATTTGAGGGTTTTCCATTTAAAAGTGAAAAAATAAAACACGTTTTCTTCAAAACTTTTAATGGTTTGTTCAATGGTGGACAGTAAAAAATAGTTTTTTGGATACTGCTGCGAAAAGAAGACTCTTTTCGCATGTTATTTCCACCCACATACAAATCAAATAAGCGCTTCCTACTGACGTTACACACTGGTAAACATCATGATAGTATCCCCCGATGAGGAGCAACCGTTTGATAAAAGCATATTATTACTTTGAGTGGAGGGGTAGATCGAAAACGTCAGCAGGGATGTAGAAACGAATGAGTGGGTTAAGTGTAAATTTGAGTCAAATTTGAACAGTATTCCAGTGATATCACAGCGTGCCAACTTATTATTAACGGAAACCCCGGTATATCACAGCGTGGAGCTGTACGTTAGCGGAATGCCCGGTGTCAACGTGTCACTTCTACGTCGGCGGGGAGCCGGAAGTGATACGTGTATCAGACATGTAACAGTTTGATGAAGTCCTTGGGCACTGGTATGGTGCTGGTTGACCTTGAAACATAATCGGAGCTAACCGGGATTGGAACCCACGATCACTGGCTTCTGGTGTGATTGCACATCAAACTAAGCTGACGTACAAAAGAAAGTACACACCCAGTATTTTGGGACTATGGTCCAAGAAACAACAACTATTTCAACTTCCAAGAAACAAACATTGTTGTGTATGTTTTTGACAACACACCCCAGATATCCCTTAGAGTAGAGGGCATGAGATATCATGTCCTTTGGAAACTCATCCCAAAGCACCAGGTGTGTACTTTCTTTTGTGCGTCAGTTTATTGCGTCTTAGACAAACTGAGTAACCCGTGACCCCGATAAAGAAGGTATATACAACATTGGTTAAAAAAATGTTATTGTTTAATGCAGTTAAAATAATCCAGTTATATCACTGCAGTCGGTCAACAATCGTTTCTTGTCGAAACAAACCAGTGGTTGATAGCGTGAGTCTGTAGCTGCTGTACAATGACCTTCAAAGGTAACTGAACTGTCACACTTGATCCCCTAATAAGGTCGACTGTGACAAGCATGGATATCTTGGAGCCTATTCTCCTTCGGAATCCTGATGGGTAGGTGACCAGACAAACCTGTGATTGATATCATGAGCAAGGACCGACGTCATCGGATGACGTCCACTCAATTTAGTCACACCTGAATCTCATTCGGGGGTTTTCTCCTACCCCAGCTTGAAGAGCATGAGTGATGTTGATGATTGTAGGGATTCTAGAAACAAAAGAATCCTAGCTGCATGATGTAGGAATGGAAGAGGGGATGAGACTGGTACACATGTAAAACGATGACGCGGCAGGTCAACACATTCTATAAAACCCCGTTAATCCGACCAACGCTGTTTAACTGAGCGTTATCATCAGATATGAAAGCAATGAGAGGACCTTAATTAGAAGAAAGTAACCTTTCTGTGAACAGTGAAACAGTCTATTCTGTGTAGATCAATGTTTAAGAACTGAAATCTGAATTATGCTAACGATAGTAAATTTTCCTGATTGTCCAACCAGATACTATCCACGGTTATACAGTAGAACGTCCGTCTTGCGAAAACGTGGGTTCTGGGAAAAACAGTCGCACAGTTATATAGAGAGGCGTTTTCAGTAGGAATCGCTCAGAAAGCGGATAACGTACAATGTGCATTTTATCCCAATCCATAAATAGGGAAACAGTACTGAAGCGCATGTAAAATCCTGCAATAAAGTCAGATTTTGTCTCTTCTTCAAGGAGTCACAGTGAACATTCTAGCCCAAATAACACGGTCAAAACTGCATGGTGTGGTCCACATCACGTTGGGTTGGTGTTTTGTTTCGTTCGTTGTTATCTTTACATTTTTGTCTGCGGACTTTAAGGACCAAAGTAAAGTAGACTGAAATATAAATAGACCTATATTTGAAACACAACTGATAGCTGAACTGTACAAGGGGTTATCTAGAAAAACAGAAACCCGTACGATTAACAACGTGAGTGAATGAAATACGTTTTACGCCGCTATAAGCAATATTCCAGCAATATCACAGCAGGGGACACCAGAAATAGGCTTCACACATTGTACACATGTTGGGAATCGAACCCGGGTCTTCGGTGTGATAAGCGAACGCTTATACGATACCTATATGCATTACAGATACACAGCGAGATTTCGCTAGAGTCGGAAACGCTCACCTTTAACTGTATCAATTTACACTCAATTCATTTTTGGCACCTATATACTGCGTAAGAGTTAAAAAGAAGAAGTACATAGGAAACTGAAGACGAGTCAAGAAGTAAATGAATCTAAAAAGATCCGTGTGGGCTTGGTTTCAGTTTACATTGTCCTTAATAGGTATAGAAAGATGACAATTTTCATGGGTATACAACTTTTATTCTATGAAAGGCGACGTTTCGACATAGATTCTGATGTCGTTGTCAAGCAGAATAAAAGAAGTTGTATATCCCCAAAAATTGTCACCATTCTTCATCACCTGAACTTCTAAAATGCCCATAAAAGAAGGTATGTGTTTAAATGCGCATACATACAGACACATGTACACACGTACACACACAGACCCGCACACAGACAGATATCTGTATATGGTATATAGTAGATATATTTATATATATATTCTTATCTAAATAAACTTCAGCTCGGACTAGTAGAGGAGTGAGTGAGTTTACTTTTACGCCGATTTTAATAATATTCAGCAATATATCACGGCGGAGTACACCAGAAATGGACTTCAAATTTTGTACCCATGTTGGGAATCGAACCCGGGTCTTCGGCGTGGCGAGCGAGCGCTTTAACCCCAAGGCTACCCCACCGACTCTCGGACTGGTAGATATTACCTCTTATCTACTACACAGTACATATATATCTACCATCAGCGCGTGTTTGACATATGACGCGACGTTATCACTCAACACAACGTCTAACCCTATCACCTCTTTATGTTGACAATCTTTAGTTACTTGACTATTGGGGTTAGCGGTCAACTGCACATTGTGTAAAGCATTGTGTGCCCATAGACCCAGACTACTATACATTGAGGACTTAGGGGTTACGTCAAGGCATGTTTACATATCGTGGGGACACACCCCTTCTTCCACGTGGTTAGGTTCGTCGTCGGACCTGCAAGGACCTGAACATTGCCCTTGAACTTCGAACCCTTGAATGACTACAGCTAGACTTTCCATTGTACACTAAGGGATCGATAGAAGCAAGGTACGTGAATGTATGTGTATAAACATGTATAGGGTGTTTTCGCGTTGTGAGGGTAACTGTTTCTGTATTTAATTCATTTCAGAAACTTGAAAGTGGCCCAAATACTGGGTAAATGATGGCGATTAGCTCACTTGATAATGGAGTATGTTAACATGTCTTGTAGCGGATAGATTCCTGTGTGCAAAGTCGTGATGTTCATAATTCATTAGACCCTCACATGTAAACATTCATCGTTATAACCACACACACACACACACACACACACACACACACACACACACACATTAAAAACACGGACGCCCAATCGAAGGCACGCACATATATGCACCATTACCAATACACACTCATCATCATCATCATCATCATCATCATCATCATCATCACGGAGTATTACTTTCACATCAATGTATGCAACGTGTGAATGTGAAAGACAACTCCACGTCTTCCACAGTGTTCAAGGGACTCACGTGTATAGTTTAAGAACCTGTAGCGTGGACGTTATTGGTGCCAGAGAATTCGTCCGCATTAACAAATGTCCGGATTACCGAGTCATTATTGTTATTTGAACTAATGTAAACATTTAAACATAATCGTCCAGGAAACAGCTTCCGCTACAACAGGACTTTATTATGCATCCCAAAAATATCTAATTAATGGGATTTCTGTATTCAAACATATGATCATGATAAATTGCAAACGTGTCTTTGCGTATGACCGTTTAGACTTGCACAAGCCTCTACGGTAATTATTAATAGTTTAAATAATCATTTCTAAAAAAATATGAAAAACAAACTGGGGTGCTTAGACTATCCCCTTATCTAGACTTGCCTCTGGATAGAATTACTATACATGCATGGACTTATCACTCAGTACAGCCTTGGAGCAAGGCTAATGACTGTTCTACAAGCAATCATATTGCCTGTTAAATTAAAACGCTTTTCTCACGATCTCAACATAAATCACAAGCTGTATTTGTATATCCAATGCAGGTATTGAATCCATTTTCGCCTGACCCTGTCAAGATTCGATATTTAAAACACATACTCTTTCCCTAATTTCTACTACTTAGTATTTTCGTTTCTATCTCATGCTGCTCAAACTCGCAGCGTAACCTTTCCACACAGGCTCGGCTTTCACGTGGAACTCAACACCCTCACGGAACTCAAATGTTAATAAACTGTGACAGAGGGCGGTGCTACACACATGTGGCCTCGTAGTCTGTCTCACAGTCCCTGAACCACATTAAGTTCCCTACTGCCTTGCCCTCCCTGCAATGCTAAAGCCCTAAATGAAATCTAGATTTCCCCAGGTTCAGGAATCTCCCAACTCCTTTTCAATTTAAGTGGGTTTATTTGTTACCATCAAAAGTATATATATATTCAGGGACTAAGAGTTAGTCTAGAGGCCTGGTTGAGAGCATACAGCTGCATCATGCAGTAACAGTGTCACAGAGCTGCACATTGCAGAACTGCAGGGGTTTCCGGTGAGCTGCTATGTGATGGTACGTATTGTAGAGTAGAAACCGGTTTCAGTGTAACTGATTATCTGGATAACTGTTTATCGTTAAACCGATTTTCTTGGATTGGGAACAGGTTTATATTGTCATATATTAACTTGGACTCTACACTATTTGGACCCGATAACTGTGTCCCAGTTTTAAATGTCGAGCAGCACAGGCATGTTGTTCTATTTGCTTTGGGGAGATGTGTACTTCCAATGCTGTCTTATCTGGAAACTAGTTGTGTTTGTAAGTAGAAATATGATATAAACAGCATGTGAAGTTGTCCAGCGAGCAGTGATCCGTGTTGATTTGAGCTGGCTAATTGGCAGAGTTGAGGGGACTTCATTTGTTCAGTGACCGTAAAACATCGCAATTTGTCATGTTTGAGAGTGTGGCTCTGTGTGTGTGTGTGTGTGGTGGGTGGGTTGGTGGGTGGTTGGGGATTGTGGATGTGTGTGTGTTTGGGGGTGTTTGGGGTTGTTAAGGGGAAGATGGAGGGGGGAGTAAGGAGGGGTGTGTGAGTGTGTGTCGTGTGCGGGTGTTTGAAACTCAAAATGAACCTAGGTAAATGTGCAGAATCTGAGAAAAACTAGACTTGTTCTGTTTAGAGCTGTAGTATTGCTTTAAAGGCTGTATGAAAGGGAAATTATGAAAGTTCAGTAATTGCGGCCATTTTTTAGGTGTGTGTGTGCGTGTGTGCGTGTGTGCGTGTATGTGTATGTTTATGTTTATAAATGGTGTGTATGTGTTCAATCTTATAACCCATTCATATTTGTTTAAAGTCAGCCATACCTAAAACAGTTTGAACGTTTTGAGTTTCGATCAGCTTGTAAACCTCCAAATTATAATAAAGACTGTTTGTTTGGTCTGTAGAGGCCAAGAGCGGAATTAACTAGCGACAAACAGGTATCCGTATGGTGTCCATTGGAAGATTTAGTTAAGTATAGTAGGGGACTGAACAAGTGCGAAGGAAAGCGACAGTTAGAGTGAGTGAGTGAGTTTGGTTTTACGCCGCTTTTAGCAATATTCCAGCAATATCACGGCGGGGGACACCATAAATGGGCTTCACAGCGACAGTTAGAAGTGTGGAGGGGATGTTGGAATGTGTCGGATGTGAAGAAACACACTGTTTGCAAGCCAAGTTAACAGTGCGGAATGTCTGTGTTTGGGGCCAATCATTTAGTCACATACAGAGTTTCTACTTGTATTTGTTAGTCCTAAAGTTATGTCCCCTCCACCATGACATGGCCTGGGATCCCAACAAGGAGTGAGTGAGTGAGTATGGTTTTACGCCACTTTACGCAGTGTTCCAGCAATATTACGGCGGGGGACACCAGAAACGGGCTTCACACATTGTACCCATATGGAGAATCGAACCCGTGTCTTCGGCATGACGAGCGAACGCTTTACCCACTAGGCTACCCCACCGACTCTCCCAACAGGGAAAAAAGAGGGAGGTGTAGGGGAACTGCTCTATGGTAAAACTCAACAGGCAAGCAGCTGCACAACACATGCATTTTCTGGCTATAAATTATAACTAATATTCCCTCCAAACAATTACACCCGTGAAGGTCAGGGTTAGAATTGATAATCGGTTCCCACTTACGCAGATCGATGCTCATGCTGTTGATCACTGGATTGTCTGGTCCAGACTCGATTATTATAGACCGCCGCCATATAGCTCGAATATTGCTGAGTGCGGCGTAAAACTCAACCCACTCACTCACTCACTCACTCCAAACAATTACACCCGTGAAGGTCCGGGTTAGAATTGACCTTCAGTAACCCATGCTTGTCGTAAGAGGCGACTAACGGGATCGGGTGGTCAGGCTCACTGACTTGGTTGACTCATGTCATCGGTTCCCAATTACGCAGATCGATGCTCATGCTGTTGATCACTGAATTGTCTGGTCCAGACTCGATTATTTACAGTCAGCCGCCATATGGCTAGAATATTGCTGAGTGCGGCGTAAAACTAAACTCACTCACTCACACCTAACAATTACATGACTAATGTACAAGTACCTGCTTCCTACCTAATAACTTCATTTATTACTTGTCCGTGTAAGATACTGCAGTGTACTATTTTTTACGGCAATATTACACTATTTAGTGTAATACCTCTAGATATTTGCCGTCATAATGGTATATATACACAGCAAAAAAAGTTAAGCACCCCTCAAATTAAAGCTGAATTATCGGTATATGTCGGAACAAAATTTCAGTCCTCATGATGGCAAATCAAAGAGTGGTATATTGGTGATAAAATAAGGTGTTACTTATTAGAAAATGTCTCTCACGAACGCAGCCGCATGCACGTGAATCCCGCCACCCATGTGTTGCACACACCAAAGTTTCAAACAACCACAAGCATTGGGTATTTAAGGATCGGTATCGACTTCATTATCACTGTTTTTGCACTTCTGATTGACAATGGCACGAAGGAGAATTTCCGAGGCATTGAGATGGCAGATCATTGGACTTCATCGGGCAGGACTTTCTTACAAGGAAATTGCACTACACCGTAATAAGCCGTCTGGTGAGGAAGCATGCGCAAACAAATGATGTAAAGGACCTTCCCCGTTCTGGAAGACCAAAAGCTACCACGCCCCAGGAGGATACAGCTCTGTTACGGCATGTGAGACGCCAGCGTTTTGGTTCAAGCACCCTTCTGAAACAGGCCTGGTTACCTCATCGCCGCTTGAGCAACCAGACTGTGAGAAACCGCCTCAAAGCTGCTGGATTAAGAGCCAGAAGGGTCATCAGGCGTCCACAGCTCACAAATCACCACAAGCGTCAGCTGGGATTATGGTGTCAGCACAGGCAGAGGTGGAACCTACGATCATGGAGGAGAATACACTGGACCGACGAAAGTCGTTTCCTCCTGCATATTGTGGATGGGAGAGCCCGAGTATGGAGGACTAGAAATACACGTCTTGCCCCCAAGAACATTTTGCCAAGAGTACCATTTGGCGGGGGATCCGTAATGGTTTGGGGAGGCTTCTCCTACGACTGTAGACTGGATTTGGTGACTATACAAGGTTCACTCACAGGCGCTCGCTACATTCAGGAGGTTCTGGATCCTGTAATTATTGATCATTTCGATGACCACAGACTTGCCACAAGACCCTTGTTCATGGACGACAATGCACGACCTCATCGTTCACATGCTGTAAACCAACATCTGGCAAATAATGCTGTGACACGAATTCCCTGGCCATCAGTGTCTCCTGATTTGAATCCCATCGAACATGTTTGGGACATCATGGGGCGTCGGGTACAAAGAAGGAATCCTCCTCCACAAAACCTGGGGGAACTGGAGGCAGTTCTTCACGGGGAGTGGCAGCGGATACCGATGGAACAATTAAGGAACCTGGTTAGGGGTATGCCAAGAAGAGTGGCTGCAGTTAATCAGGCACGTGGTGGCAGTACACGTTACTGATGTTTTGTGATTCCTGGGACACTGATCCACTTTATTTAAGCTGCTTTTACCGGGTGGCACACCCCAAGACATTGAACTGACGATACTTCAACACACATGTCTTTTGGATGCAATTCCATTTCAATTTCACTCTGTGTTTTCATGCACTTTTAGTGCTCATACCGTTACAAAACTTCTGTTCCAAATGACCAAATGATTGTTCTTTTAATTAAAATTTGTTTTGCTTCTCTTCTTTTTCTCAGTTTCATACCATGCTTCCATGAAGTTCACCCCTCTGTGAAAAATCAGGGGGGTGCTTAACTTTTTTTGCTGTGTAGTTATGACGTCACACTGCTAATACCTCTGTCACAATGTTATTAGACCTTGTTTGACTCGCGGAAAGCTGAGAGTCATCACACTGTAAGCAGTTTCTATCAAATTATATCACCCATCAAAAATTATATCACCTATCACTCACTTAAAAGCATTCACTATATGTTATGCATATATGTGTAGTTACATGGAAGATGAATTTCTCTACTAACTTTGGGGAACCAACTGCAAACTTTAAGCAGATGAATTGCACGAGGATCATGCATTAAATTGCTAAAAAGCATGTGCATCCGGCGTTAACTCTGGTACAGGTGTTGCGGTAATTTACCGGTGAGTATAAATGGTGCTGATCTGCAGTCTTTCACTTCAATCTATTTCACTTCCGAAGCCGTGAGTATGACCATGTATCAAATACTCGTGCCTATTCACTTAACTTCGGGGGGCGGCGGGGTAGCCTAGTGGTTAAAGCGTTCGCCGGGTTCGATTCCTCACATGGGTACAATGTGTGAAGCTCATTTCTGGTTTCCCCCGCCCTGATTTTGCTGGAATATTGCTAAAAGCGGCGTAAAACTAAACGCACTCACTCACTTAACATCAGATGGCATTAAATCTGATGTAATTCAACCAGCACGGCGTTATTTACGCCGTTACTTTCGTCGTTACACGTTACACGCATAACCATCAGTGATAACGTTTGTGTGACAGACGTTTATAGAACATTTTCTTGGACATGTGGATTTATCGTGAAAGCTTGCAAAAACAGAACATTTCACGACGTTGTTACTTATATTTAAACTGTCCGAGTCAGGTGGTTTGCGTTTGTTTGTTTGTTTGTTTGTTGGTTGGTTGGTTGGTTCGTTCGTTCGTTCGTTCGTTTGCTCGTGTTCGTTTGTTCGTTCGTTCGTGTTCGTGTTTGTTTGTTTGTTTGTTTGATTGATTTCAATGGGAAACAACATACTTCTTGGATATCCCACTTTAATGAAAATGTTGTTAATAGTTGCAATCACAGTTATACATCAGGCATAGGTCGTAGCAAGAACCAAAGGACATACTCGAATGCGCGATTCCGTGTGCAAACCCAGTAAGCTGAACATTCAAAATGCTCTTGCTCAACGTTGTTTGATCAGGGTTACAAAATGCGTGGTCTCTAAGGGTGTTTTTGGTGGGCATGTTGAGGATGTTTCCAAATTTCATGCATCAGCGACAGAAATTATGAAATATTGAAATAGTCACGAGTTGGATTTACCTCCCTCACAAAAGTATTTTAGTTACATCAGACCATGTTAACTTCAGTTTTCCGAAAAACTCTTGTCGCTCATCTTTCTTTATATTCACCAAATACCAGTATGGTACTCCTATACTGCAACGATAAACAGCTATGGTCAACATCTGTGTCGCCTTCATGTCATGATTCATATTTTTATGATATTCATTTTCATAATTCTTTAATTATTGTTTAAAAGCTTAGTCACCTTCGTTCTTTATGGTAGCTGAAAGAATTCAAATTATAAAGTTTTCAAAAACATCTGGAGTAGAACCATTTAATTTGATTTAGTTTGGTGAAAATAACGTGAAACGTTCTTCGTACCCTAAATCAACAGCACGTGTCGAGTATTTTAATATCACACATGTTCAGTGAAAAACACATTGTTTTTTGAAGAAGTGATTTGATATTAAGCATTTATAAAAAAAAAAAAACAAGACTATCATTCAGTCTCGGAAATATTTACTAAATCGCCTTCCTCTTTGGTAAGACTACAGAATACCGGATACCTTCCGCCATCTTTGAAAGCATGCGAGTTTTCTTAGGGTTAGGGTAAGGGTTAGGGTTAGCGTTAGGGTGACGTGACACTAAACAATATGGCTGATGGGTATCAGATTACAGAATACCGGATACCTTTCGCCATCTTTGAAAGCACGCGAGTTTACTTTTGGTTAGGGTTAGGGTAAGGTTTAGGGTTAGGGTAAGGTTTAGGGTTAGGGTGACGTGACAGCATACAATATGGCTGGTAGGTATCCGGTATTCTGTAGTTGTACCTTGAACTCCATAAGCAGGACTTATTTTCGTTGAAAAGATGGAGGCTTGCCAAAAAACATTTTCGACGTGCTTGAGAGTTGGGGGATATTTTGTTTGAATGTTATAATGAGAGACTGGTATATGTAGTTGAAATGTCACGACTATGCGAGAAGATGTAATGTGTGGTCCCGGTACACTGCTGTGTATCTGAATATCAATCACAGTAAAAGTCATAGTTAAATACCACACCAAAGTTCAATGTACAGTTCACGTCGTCACGAAAAGAATTAACGCACTGAAGCGCCCGTTGCTGTACCACTCCTCCGTTCCACGTTATCATCGGCTGTTCAGCATCCCACTGCTCGGATCACGAGTACAAAGCTCCAAGCCGTAAGGCCCTGTGGGGGTGAGGCAGATCAACAATCGGCCTGGACATCTATTTCCTTCTTTGGTACATGCTTGATTGTACTTTATTATTTTGTTACAAACCTCGCAGGTTTCGTCTATTTTTCATGTCGACATTACACATTGTAACTATTTTTGCTATACGTTTCAGGATGTCTGACTCTTCTTCAACGTTCAAAGAACTGTACGCGGATAACGTTGGTTTAATCGGTGCGAGTGCACTAACGCTTGTTGGACTAGCGGCTGCAAGCTACTACATGACGTCACGACCCCCTCAAGTAGTCCCCCCAGTGGACCTCAGTGACCAGTCGGTGGAGTTGGAGGTGAGGGGTTGGACTAACTGTTATTTACAGAGAAATATCTGACAACGACGGAAGTGGTAGCAGCAGTTGTAATAGTATTAGCAGCAGAAGAGGTAGTACTAGTGGTAGCAGTAGCAGTAGCAGTAGCTCAAGAGCAGTAGCGATAGTCCGATCCTGTAAGTCCGATCCCTTAAAGTCGCCTCTTACGCAGTAGTAGTAGAAGTAGTAGTAGTAGTAGTAGTAGTAGTAGTAGTAGCAGTAGTAGTAGTAGCAGTAGTAGCTCAAGAGCAGTAACGATAGTCCGATCCCGTAAGTCCGATCCCGTAAAGTCGCCTCTTACGCAGTAGTAGTAGAAGTAGTAGTAGTAGTAGTAGTAGTAGTAGTAGTAGTAGCTCAAGAGCAGTAACGATAGTCCGATCCCGTAAGTCGCTTCTTACGACAAGCATTGCTGAAGACCAAATCCGAACACAGATCTTCATGGGTCGCAGTAGTAGTAGTAGTAGTAGTAGAATTCAAAGAAGTAGTGTTAGTGGCTGCACTAATGCGTGAAGCAGTACCTGTAGTGGTACCTGTAGTAGTACCTGTAGTGGTACCTGTAGTAGTACCTGTAGTGGTACCTGTAGTGGTACCTATAGTAGTACCTGTAGTAGTACCTGTAGTGGTACCTGTAGTGGTACCTGTAGTAGTACCTGTAGTAGTACCTGTAGTAGTACCTGTAGTGGTACCTGTAGTAGTACCTGTAGTAGTACCTGTAGTGGTACCTGTAGTGGTACCTGTAGTAGTAGTACCTGTAGTGGTACCTGTAGTGGTACCTGTAGTCGTACCTGTAGTGGTACCTGTAGTCGTACCCGTAGTCGTACCTGTAGTCGTACCTGTAGTGGTACCTGTAGTAGTACCTGTAGTGGTACTGCTGAAGTAGTAGTAATAGTGGTGGTAGCAGTTCTTTTGTTATTATCACCACTTCATTAATTTCAATATTGTCATTATAATTGTAGTTAAAATATTTATAAGTAGTAGTAGTAGTAGTAGTAGTAGTAGTAGTAGTAGTAGTAGTAGTAGCAGTAGTAGCAGTAGTAGTAGTAACGCGAATCAGTGAGTCTATGACGTAAACTCTGACTTCAGGATGGAAGTCGAATGTCCGCCTACCCGAAGGCCAAGGGTCAGTTGATGCACTACCTGTACGAGGACGCGAGGACCCTGTACGAAGTCTTCCAGAGGGGCATACGACAGTCTAGTAAGTACTGACCAGTCCGGCCTCACTCGTGTGTCCCCGAAATGTTGAATATGTTTCACCACAGAGAAACACTTTGGATACGAGCTGTCCCACATTGGACACCCCATCATAATATTAACACCATCACGGTAAATAACAGCAACAGTGATATAGAGCGAAATATTATTTGATTGGTCTTATTATGTTACGTTGATAATGTCTGGGAGTTAACTATGACCATGCAATCCCCGATGTGAGATATAAATACCAGGGCGAATAACAGGATTAGGTGGTCAGACTCGTTGACTTGGTTGCTGCATATCACCGGATTCCATCTGCGCAGATCAAGCCTCTTGATGTCGATCACTGGATTGTCCGGTCCAAACTCGATTATTATCAGACCGCTGCCATATCGCTGGACTATTGGTGAGTGTGGCGTTAAACAGCAAACCTGTTTCACTCATTGCAGATAATGGCCCCTGTCTTGGAGCAAGGACGGGCCCCAACAAGGAATATGAGTGGCTCTCTTACAACGAGGTAATGGCATAGTGCTAATTAAGTATAACGTAGGGTGTAACACCGCTTCAGAATATATATCTCTAGGTTTGTCAGTCTCCTGTCCCTGCTTGTGGCTCTGCGATAATCATTGTTCCCAAACAGCACTGGTCATTCAATTCATACTGTTTTCTTTTCATTTTGTATAGTTGACCACCATAGTGACCAATCAATAAGCATTCGTATATAACAGATATGATTAATTTAGGACACGCATTGGATGAGTGAGTGAGTGGGTATGATTTTACGCCGCTTTTAGCAATATTCCAGCAATATCACGGCGGGGGACACCATAAATGGGCTTCACACATTGTACCCATGTGGGAAATCGAACCCGGGTTTCCGCGTTACGAGCGAACGTTTTAACCAGTAGGCTACCCCATCCGCCCACATAAGGAATGGGAATTGGCGACACACGACTTGCACAGAAAATGAAAATGACCTATGAGCAAAATTAATCTATTTTTAAATAACAGTTTGGAATATAGGTTCACGCCTGAATCAAATCAAATATATGTGTTATTTAGCATAATAGTCTATATTTTTCTGCTTGTCATTAAATGATTTATGTTGAACTACAAAGACATGTCATATTTCGATGTGTATTCACTGTGACACCATCACCCACAAATCTTACACTCATCACTTGAAGGTATACGAGAAAGCCCGTGCCTTTGGTTCAGGACTTCTTCACAAGGGAGTGAAGCCAGGAAAAGACTCCTTTCATAGGAATATACAGCAAGAACAAAATCGAGGTAAGTATCATCCTCGACTGTCCAGGGTGATATCTGTATTCAATCATTATAAGTACCTTGGATCTACCACCTTGTCCATCTTTCCTCGAGTGACCTTCCACAAAATGACCCTTGCTATGTAGTGCTATTTGATTGCGTGTATGGTGTTTGGAGTGATTTTTTTCTGGGTGTATATTGATATATACATGTATTTAAGATTGATACACCGGACAACGTTTGTAATTTCAATATTTCGAACTTTTAACACACGCAGATCTATAAAAATTGTGAGAAGGATAAACGACAAAAATGTCTGAAAGATTATACATCCTTTGTAACGTTTCAGTGAGCGGAGGAATACACTCTCCATTGATCTACCAAGCTCTCTATACTTACAAAAATAAGACACAGCAAACAGGTTATACCATGCATACCTTAGGCTACTAACCTCAAATTCTGAAGGGGTTTAAAACACAATCAAAGCCTCTATCACATATGGCTGTTCATTCCCTGTGTAATGCTCCCAATATACATCAGTTAGTTGCCTCACAACAGACTTCAATATTCCAGTGACATAACGTGAACTAAAGATAATCGGACCTCACCCAGGCAAACCGATGACTGAAAGTACCATCACTAAAATGTCTAATGCATTCATAATCTAAAGCACTCGTTATATTTTCCCATATATATCTTCTTCCAGTGGACGGTGGCGGAACAAGCCAACAACATGTTCTCTATGGTAACCGTGCCCTTGTACGACACCCTGGGGATCCAGGCTTGCATCTACATCATCAACCAGAGTAGGTGATAGGCAGACATTGTTCCAGATATTGACTGTATGATTGATGTAGTACTTCACTATCAGCTTCACTTTGTGTCTGGTACCTATATCTGAGAATCGGATGGTTATATCCTGTGACTTAGTTGATTAAATGTCAAATCATGGGGTGGACCTTTGCTTATCTATCAGTCTCTGGTAGTAGGTGGAATATTGCCGCATGTGTCACTAAACAAAATGTTCTCCTCTGTGTATAAACCCAAGGTATCACTTATATGTTACAGACCGTATACTGACACAATATGGACTATTTTCTCAGTAATGTACAGTTTTTAGTACTGCTTCGGGTTCGTCCCATCCTTTTACAACACATTAGATGGAGCATCTTTGAAATATGGAATATTTATAGATTTCGTGTTCACATATCGATGGAAAAAGCACAAATGTTGTTACATAAAACGTTAGTTTTCTGCTAAATGTGTGACAGTTGAGCTAAGCGAGAAGTCACATATGTTGTGGCATGTGTTTAGCAAAGCACTTTGGTGTGTGACAGTCACCGTTACATGATATTATACAAATTGTTGCAATGTGTTTCCCGACTGCTGGACTGAGCACATTGGTGTTGGACAACCACCGTTACACGATATCATTCAAATTGTGACAATGTGTTTCCCGACAGCTGGGCTGAGCACCCTTGTGTATGACAACCACCGTTACACGATATCATTCAAATTGTGACAATGTGTTTCCCGACAGCTGGGCTGAGCACCCTGGTGTATGACAACCACCGTTACATGATATCATACAAATTGTGACAATGTGTTTTATAAACAGCTGAACTGAGCACCCTGGTGTGTGACAGTCCAGACAAGGCTCAGCTCATCTTGGACCAGGCTCAGCATCTTCCATCCCTCAAAAGGATCGTGATGATAGAGGCGATCTCCAAACAGAACCAAGATACTGCCGCCACATACAACATCGAGATGGTCCTGTTTCGTGACATAGAGGTATGTATCACTGGAGACGTTCAAACAACAGGGTACATGGGTAGACACTGCCGTCTAATCTAACTTAATTCGCCATGTACATGTGCACCCCTTTGGCTCTCCAGAAAAGTATAGGTTCGAATCTCGGTTCGTTACGATTATGTTTCTAGATTTTTCAGGTCGCTGGTTTCATCAATATAGTAAACGTCTCACACCTGCATTACTTCGGGTTTCCCTCCCACATTAAGCCAGCTCACGATAATACAACTAGAATAATGTTAAAAGCGGCGTTAAGCCTGTCAATGGCTACCTGCCTGTCATCACGTGGCCAGTATTATTTTAGGTAATTATTACCAGTCATTATTCAAGTCGCTCACCTCGTCTTCATTACGTTTAATTGTTGCCTGTAGCTCTGAAACTATATGATTTTCTGCTTTTAGAAACTTGGACGTGAGAATCCCAAAGACCTGGTGGTAAGTGCGTTATTCTCACGTCGTTGCAAAATATACTGAGGGACAAAAGAATGTATACCGACATTGTTTTGTATATAATTGAAAATTGAAAGAACTGTTGTTAAATTTGATTATACATGTATCTAATCAACCGTCACACATTCTTGCTAACAGTTTGTGAAATTTAATCTATGGCATGGTAGTTTAGTGAATACTGAATTGGTTCCATGGAGGCCTGGGGTATATACAATGAAATCGCAACCATAAGGAACCTACCATGTTGGATATGTTGTACAAGGGTGATGGTAAAGCTTGCAAGTTACAGTTGTTTGTGTTCGATGTATCTTTTGTTTGGATATTATTATGAGGAATCAGCTGATAGTCAGTCAAACCTGGAGTCTCTCTTGTCTCTGTATTTTGACTTCTTTGCATTACGTGTATTTTATTTTATTTTTATTTTTATTTTTTATTTATTTATTTTTTATTTTTTTTATTTATTTATTTATTTTTTATTTTTGTGTAATGACAGACGTCTAAAATGTTTATCATTCAGGCTTTTCTTACTTTGCCACAAAACCGTAATATCACTGACAGAGTGTGTGTAATATCACATTAAGGCATAAAACGCATGTCACTCACTGATTGAATTTCATATTCTGTGGCTTTTGCTGTCATCAGTGTGTTAACGGTACATTGTTTATGTTCTGTTTTAGCTCCCCACCCCATCTGATCTCGCCACCGTGTGTTACACCAGTGGCACCACAGGTGATGTACCGTTTGCCTTCAGTCAGATAACATCCTTAGTGCTTCATGGTAGGGCGTCATTGACAAAATATGCCCCCAGTATACCATGCTTGTCTTATGGTAGGACTACTTAAAGGACAGAATGGAACCCCAGTACCATGTCGATGGGGATGACTGGTAACCGGCAAGCTGCCAGGTTGTGTGTCACCGCGCGGATACCTGGAAGACTAGAGACCCTGCAACCAATGTCTATCTTTCCATTCCTCTTTAAGTTTGATGAAAAAATTCCATTGCTGGATACATGTTCTTGAATGTATGTTAGACATTTACAATCACGTGATTTAACTGTATGTTATATTTCAGGTGATCCTAAAGGGGTGATGTTGTCACATGCTAATCTCATCTCCAACTTAGGATCTGTTATGTTCCACATCTTGGTAAGAAATACAACAGCTTGTCTCCTTTCTTAATATGTTTAACTCACATAGACTTAGGGTAGTGTTAGCGCTGAGACCGCTTAATTCAATCACTTACCCATTACACTTGTGAGGATCCAGGTTAGAATTGGTCTTCAGCAACCATAATTTCGAAAGAGGCGACTAACGGGATGAGGTGTCAAACTTTGTTGATATGTTATCGTTTCCCGATAAATCACTGGACTGTCTTGTCCAGATAATTTACATTCCTCCGTCATTTTGATGGAGCATTGCTGAGTTAAATCACAAACAGACAACACTCAATGTTTTTTTGCTGTTTCCGTAGGACCACATTGACCTGAGCCCGAGTGACCGCCATCTATCCTACCTCCCTCTTGCTCACATGTTTGAGAGGGGCATGCAGGTAGGCTGCAGTAGCTATGGTTACCGTATACCGTACTTCCATCTCTTCATGTGATGATCCATTAGAAATGTCAGCTGCCAATGTGCGCCATACGGGTTGGGGAAAAGAAAATGGCGGCCCTCAAAAACACCAATCATGGTTTTTGTTTTCGATCTTGAATTCCTATTTAAAGTTCCCATTCAACAGACAAAGTTATGTGTTTACTGGTTTGGGATTAGGCATGATATCAGCATGCATGATTCATCATAACTTTTTCGTATAGCCAATAACACATGTCGAATCCACACTCGTCAATCTATAATTGTATATAGAAAAACTGATACTTAATAGTAAACGGATAAGAAGATATCTACATTGTAAACAAAATAGTCCTTGGATTTCAACCTTATAACAGATGTGTAGAAATTTGTCGTTGAAGCAGCTGAGGGCCAGGTTTACGTTACCATGTTACCCACTTTTCATTGTAAAGTGTAAATACATGAAACGTTCAGATTATAATCTGTGAGAACCGCCAGATTCGCCAAAACAAGGCTGAGGCCGACGGGGGCGATTTTACGAGTGATTCGAAATTTAACGTGAAAGTATGAAAAGAATCTGCCAATGCAGAATGTCTTGCGTTTTATACATCAAGAAAAGCCAGGTATATGTAACCAGTGGTTAAAGTCGTTCGGTCGTCAAGGCTTGGATTCCATTCTTCAGAAAGCTCCAACAACTGAAGGCTTTATCTTTGGATCTTTTGTTCCTGCTGTAATGTCAGTACCTCCCTGTTTACCCCCTCCAGATACTGATGTTCACGGTGGGGGGACAGATCGGCTTCTTCCAGGGTGACATCAAGCTTCTCACTGACGACATGCAGACCCTCCAACCATCATTCTTCCCCACGGTGCCCCGCCTACTCAACAGAATCTACGACAAGGTCAGATTAACATTAATTCAGATTGATACGTCTGGGGTTGGAAAGTCCGTAACTGATAGCTGTTCTTTTAAATGCCTCAGCAAGAACCGATTTCAAAGGTAGTTCAGATTAATCACCGCGAGTTCGCATGAAAGCGTAAAAGCTCAAGATGTTTAGACGTTTCACATTGATGAAGTCCAAGAGCACGGCAATGGCTGACAAACATCCGCTAATGAAGAATGGATGGTTGGAATGTGTGACGGAGCTGATTGTGTGTCGGCGTGTTCTCAACCCGCGGACCGTTGCTCTTGCGGCCAACAACAGAATTGTCCATTCTTAAGTCGGTTATTTACAGACCCCTTGATTTAGCTGGTACACTCCAATTGCGGTGTCAAACAATATTCAGTCAAGCACCCGTCTCCAAAATGTCACCAAAGTATCGAGTACGCATTCACAAAATGCATTTAAGGATCATCTGTTTATCGTTGATAAGGTCATATCCGTTGGGATTCCAAGTTGCAACAGATCCCCAGCCATCTATGCTGGCTGTAACAGGCCACTTTGTGGATCAGATGGTCAGGCTGATATGATGCTTACACGCTATCATATCACGACGGCGTGGATCGATGTTCATTAGACCTATGACAAGATTGTCCGTATTCATGTGTTTAGACCCCGCCGTCTAATAGCTACTGAGTGTGGTGTTAAACAGCAAAGAAACAGCAACAAATACTGATTCAGAATATTTGACAAACCAGGTGATGAACGGCGTCCGTGGCAGCTTCATTAAGAAGACGTTGTTGTCGTGGGCAATCAACAGTAAGCTGGTGGAAGTACGGGAGTGAGTACTATAACCTTTGTACCATTTCACAATGGACATGTGTTTGTAAGCAGTATGGGTGCATTTGCATATCGGGTAGTAAGGGTTTATGCCACATATAAAACTACTGAACCCCTTTACGAAGTCCAAAAGTGGGCTTCACATTGTTTGAATTCCATTTGGAGAATGACCTTGACGGGTTAAGACTTTACCCACTGGGCCACCCCCATCAGCCATATCACGTACCGGGCCTTGTCCATGGTCGAAGTGACTACCATTCCATTGCAAGTTAATATCTCAATATGGAATCCATTCGTTGTATAACAAGAACGATGTGGTATAAGACAAGTGGCGAAGAATAATGGTTAGAATATATTCCCAGCAAACTATGCTGGTCGTATGAGGTGTCAAACTTGACGGTCAGGTTGACAGGGTGTCGTAAACCGATATCCTGAATCGATGCTCAGAATATCGACCACTGGTTGGTGTGGTCCAGGTTCAATATGTTTAGGTCACCGTCAAATACCTGGGATAATGCGTTGTTAAGCAACAACTAGACATACAAACAATTCTGTTGAGATGTGTTGATTAGATTGCTTTGGTGTTAAGGATATCGACCTGAAAGGTAAACGGTACACGAAATATTCTCCGTTGTCCTTTGGATTCACGCCGAAGACCCGGGTTCGAATCCCCACATGGGTACAATGAGTGAAGCCCATTTATGGTGTCCCCCGCCGTGATATTGCTGGAATATTGCTAAAAGCGGCGTAAAACCAAACTCAGTCAGTCAGTCAGTCCTTTGGATTCAATGGTGTTGAAAGCAGCAAAAAATCATAATCACACAATGCGTCTTTGCCAGAGATGTTGTAAACCAACGAAACCAATACCCTGTGACGTCTGTGTTTTGTTTGTATCTAGTTGTGTGATCCGAAAGGACACAATCTGGGACCGCCTGCTATTCAAGAAGATCCAGAAGATCCTAGGGGGTAAGATCAGACTCATCATATCTGGGTCCGCGCCACTCTCACCAGCGGTCCTCGACTTCCTTAGGGCAACGATGGGATGCATGGTAGGTTGGGGGTCACCATTAGTCGCGTCGGGTTATCTTGTCGTAAGTCATAGAGTCATTTTCGTTACGAGTAAAATAAGATTGAACTAGTTTCAAGTAAGAACAAATTCAAGGATTATTCTTTTGAGCAAGCAAGCTCATTTGAACGTTTTGTATTTTAAAGATAATTTAAGGTGAGTTAAAACATCCTTAAAAACTCTTCCCGGTTCACAAGCATGAAGAATAATGTAAAGTCGTGCATTCCGTGCTATATGAACATTTATTACACTCCAAATCGTCTCTACTCTTTTCTTTGAACCAGTCGGATCGTGCGAATACATTATTGGTTGTTGTGTATACTTTTCTGGGCGATGTATTGTTCAAGATGGGACAAAACCTGAATCGTGAGCACATAAACCAGAAGAGATTGTCCAGTTTCTATTTCTGTGGTTACATTTGGAATTTATAAATTCTGTTTCGGCCTATGCCCTTGATTCAACTGATGTTGATTTGAATGCAAGATTCGCCGGTTTATATACTGCAGTCAGCGCACTATGCGCTCGCAGGGGATGCGAAAGCCACCTTGGGTTCACCTGTCACTTCTCACTGACACGGTGCAGCTGTAATACTGGTTAAACTCACTCACTCACTCACTCATCCGCAGGTGCTAGAGGGGTATGGTCAGACGGAATCAACAGCAGGCATCAGCTTTAATATCCCAGGAGAAAGCTCTGCAGGTCTGTTGGACAAACTTGTATACTGGTTTCGTGAAACAGGTGTCAAACAATAACAATTGCCTGCCTTCGTCAATTAGTTTAGAGGGTCTGGTTTCCCAGTCTTCATTGGCACTACAAGTCGCTTTCCTGATCGACCAACTCGCGTTACTCCAGGACAGGCCAACAGCGTAGCTTGTAGGGTTGTCTCCCTTTGGCAAGGCGGAAACTTGTGGTCGTGGTTTTTATTCCAGATTCTCCCTGTTCATGTTTCTTGTTTCTTCAGCTTCATACCCGTGCTCATAGGTTTCTCCAAAGTGGTAAAGCCACCATTCAGATATAGAGGGCACAGGGACCGGAGGCAGTTTTCCCTTATATGGTTTTGATACATATATCGGCCTATATAGCGATATGCCCTCATCCCGGAAACCTCTTCCAACGGACGGTCGCTGTAGTGAACTTGATAGAAAACTTTTCAAAAACATAACAATGGTTCACTTATTGGGGAAATTGTTATCCATGACACGTGCTCGTACGGATTAACGGGTATCATTTTGTAACCACGTTATATGATAGGTGAATAACTGTCCATCTAAACGAGTCGACATTTGGTGTACGACTTCTCATAGGTTGCGATTGGACGACATAAACAGCATCCACTAGGCTTTGGTATTCAATAGAAACTATCAGCGGCCTAAGTGAATAGATTCGTCAAGTTAATGTTATCTCTCTCAAGCATAAACGTCGTCAGAGCAATTTGATAATATTGTATCAACGAAAAAAAACAACTTTTGATGTGTCGACGTGTTTCCAGTGTATATTGAACTTAAGGACGCTAGGCATGCGCAATACAACCGGATGTGGAACCATAACACGTTACTGACTGAAAGCACAAAACTTGCCTCTGTAACGAAGCGTTGGGCCAGTTTAAGGACGTTACGGATTTTTGTAAGGTTTACAATTTTATGCTTACGCTGCAGGACACTGTGGACCTCCTCTGGCGTGTAACTACGTCAAGCTGGTGGATGTTCCCGAAATGGACTACTTTGCCAAAGATTGCAAAGGAGAAGTAAGTATTACTGAGACAAAACAATTCATAACTGAGAAAACTAATTACCCACACTTCATGATAAGCAGATCAAAAATGTTTCAAACATGATTTATAAGTTATATTGTTGTCTCCTCACAATTTATGTGTGTACACATACACACATAAGTTGACTAGTTGTGAAAGAGTTTAGACAAACAGCACGGAGATCATGTACCTCGCCGTGATATTGTTTCGGTATTGTTTACAGCGGCGTAAAACAATAGACTCACCCCCCCTCATCACAAGGTCAACTGACAATTTGTCATCATGCTTTGAGGATTCTCATTCTAGACAACTCATCTGCATCATCCCAATGCAAGGGAGTTAACAGATGATAAATATACAGATGATGTTCATTGTCAGTTAGCTCCCTTGCCTCGTGAAGACAACTGAAGTCCCAGTCGGGTAGGCAATTTGATGTGGAAGGGTGCTCTTCCCAAAGACCAATTAACCAAGGTTCGAATCTAAACTTGTCATGACCATGGTTATTGGTTTCTTAGCACCAAACCCCTATTCATGGGTTTCACCAAGGTGGTGACAGACTGAAAGCTTCATCACTTCTCTCCAACATCAGGCAGGCTCTCTGTGATATAACCAGCAACTTAGTTTGGCGTTAATGTACCAATCACAGAATATATAGTCTTATGGTACCATCCCTCCATTGGTAAATATGATGTAAGCATCTCCTCGTTTCTACCCATACTGGTCCCACCCTGGTATCCACTGATGTGTTTTCTCTTTTCAGGTATGCATCAAGGGTCCCAATGTATTCATAGGCTACTACAAGAACCCAGAGAAGACCGCTGAAGCTATAGACAGTGATGGTTGGCTCCATACGGGAGATGTAGGGGAGTGGCTGCAGGTATACAACAACTGACTGCAGGCTTGCACTCAGAACCTTTCGGCTCTTACCGCTACGAACATAATACCTCGAGCTCGGCGGCAATGGGATAGTGATATTGCTTTAATATACTTTAATCTGTTTTATACGGCTAATCCCTGCGCATATTATTCGTAAAAAGGTTTCTTTCGATGTTTTACTGAAATTAGGTATACACGTTATTTTGGATACATTTGGATTAGTACAGTTATTAAGTTCACAACTGTTTGTGTCGTGTTCTATGTTGTGCAATTCACTTGCATGTAAGCCCACTACGGTTATAACGAATTCTAAAGGGACCACTAATTTTAGTTCGTTATAACCAGAGTTCTTTATCCGAATTTCGTCTATATGATGTGACAACTAGTGAGTCGAAGTGACTAGGGCCAAAAGTACTATTCGTTATAGCCCTCGGTTCGGTATAAGCGTCTTTCGTTATAAATGTAGTGTACTGTAGTTCCGAAATGGATCCCTTCAGAACTGACCGAGATCCACTTTGGCGGAGACAAGCCAATTGACCACTGACTGGCAAAGTTACGAAGTTCGATTGTTTTAACACTTTCTTTCTTTCTTTCTATCGTTGTTTGTTTGTTTGTGTCATAATTTTGTTATCAAACCTGATTCATTTTCCAGGAAGGAACTCTTCGAATCATAGACAGAAAGAAGAACATTTTCAAACTTTCCCAGGTAATTTGTTGAACGCATCGATGACATGAATACGGAGTCACATGTGTCAGAAGCATTTTCACAAGACAATGGTTACTTGTGAGGTTACTTTAAGATCAGTTAACATCCGTTGTAGGGCTGCGCAACATTACCGGTTTACCGGTTCACAAATGAAAACGATACGTATTTCGATACGCTGATCGAAATCGGTATTTTGACATGCATTCGGAAAACTTCATAACACTTGGAAATCTTGATGATTGTGGAAATTGTGGAAAGGGTTGTGGGAATGATCGTGGTGAAAATTACATTTAACTGGATTGTTAAGTTCTTTTCCTTGTTTCATTTGTGCCAAATTTAATTTACATTTTTGCTTTGTCATGATTTAAAGTTTTTATTAAGGTTAATCAACCCTAGTGATTTTGTTGTGGTTTTGCTTTATAAATCAAGCATTAACTCGAGTATAAGTAGTTTTTAGCTAAAAAAAACCATCTTGCAATATATTGCAATACATATCGCAATATATGCTTTCGCATCGTAATATATTGCAATATGAAAATTCTCTGCAATACCCACCCCTAATCCGTTGTGAAGAAGATAAACACGTAACACGAGAAAATCCAAAATGTTGTCTGTCAGAGATGTCAAGGAACCACATAAATATAATTATATTGTTTCTAGTTAATGTTTCCGGAGGTTGCAATGGTGTTTGTACTTGTGTATCCTGTCCTTCCTTCAGGGCGAGTACATTGCCTGTGAGAAGATCGAGAATGTGTACACGAGGAGCCAGTTTGTTGCCCAGTGTTTCGTGGACGGGAACAGCTCACAGGTTCGTGTATAAGAAGGATTACGGTAGCCGTGTCACGATTCTTCACTAATGTATAATTATCTTATCTGATACGCGATGATACACTGGCCTGTGCATGGATTCAGATATTGATTCTGTCGGACATAAATATAACAAAGGGATAGAAACCCTTAGAAACACAGGGGCTTGTAACGCTAAAAACTGCCATCAATGTATATACTGTCACTGACTATAGTACAAAGACCCCGTCAGTGACAGTATATACATTGATGTGACAGTATATACATTATGGCATTACATAGGCGGATCCAGAGGGGGTTGCAGGGGTGCGCACCCCCCTTTTGTGCTGAAAGTTTGTTAAATGACCATTGAAACTCGGGTGAAAATGAAGTGTGCACCCCTCCTTTTCTCAATAGTGTGCACACACACACACACACACACCCTTCTCAAAAAGCTGTATCCGCCCCTGAGTTAGTACTGAGACCCCGTCAGTGACAGTATATACTATAGTACTAAGACCCCGTCAGTGACAGTATATACTATAGTACTAAGACCCCGTCAGTGACAGTCTATACATTGATGGCAGTTAGTACTAAGACCCCGTCAGTGACAGTATATACTATAGTACTAAGACCCCGTCAGTGACAGTATATACTATAGTACTAAGACCCCGTCAGTGACAGTATATACTATAGTACTAAGACCCCGTCAGTGACAGTATATACATTGATGGCAGTTAGTACTAAGACCCCGTCAGTGACAGTTTAGTACTAAGACCCCGTCAGTCACATATCAGTTACTAAGACCCCGTCAGTGACAGTATATACTATAGTACTAAGACCCCGTCAGTGACAGTATATACTATAGTACTAAGACCCCGTCAGTGACAGTCTATACATTGATGGCAGTTAGTACTAAGACCCCGTCAGTGACAGTTTATACTATAGTACTAAGACCCCGTCAGTGACAGTATATACTATAGTACTAAGACCCCGTCAGTGACAGTATATACTTTAGTACTAAGACCCCGTCAGTGACAGTATATACTATAGTACTAAGACCCCGTCAGTGACAGTATATACTATAGTACTAAGACCCCGTCAGTGACAGTATATACTTGATAGTAGTTACTATAGTAAGACCCCGTCAGTGACAGTATATACTATAGTACTAAGACCCCGTCAGTGACAGTATATACTATAGTACTAAGACCCCGTCAGTGACAGTATATACATTGATGGCAGTTAGTACTAAGACCCCGTCAGTGACAGTATATACTATAGTACTAAGACCCCGTCAGTGACAGTATATACTATAGTACTAAGACCCCGTCAGTGACAGTCTATACATTGATGGCAGTTAGTACTAAGACCCCGTCAGTGACAGTTTATACTATAGTACTAAGACCCCGTCAGTGACAGTCTATACATTGATGGCAGTTAGTACTAAGACCCCGTCAGTGACAGTATATACATTGATGGCAGTTTTAGCGTTACAAGCCCCTGTGCATAGAAATACCCTTTCTAGATACTAGTAGATAGTGGAGTGCACATATTCGTATTTGTAGCTCAGTCCAGCGAGACTTCACGTTCAATTCAAGGGACGTAACTACGTCATCACTGCTTGTACTCTCAGATCAGAGGGTTGTTTGAGACCCGAGTAAAATGTCAATTTGTTATTTATGGTCGGTCGGAATGTAAAGTAAAATCAACTTCTGTATACTGTACACTTTCTGTTTGTTATTTAGACCCTACCTGTCTATGGTGAATTAGCTGTTGATACTTGATGTATCTGATATTTAACATTGAAGCTGTAATAGTGTTGTTTTTCGTGATACATAAACTGACGTACAAAATTAACTACACATCTGGTGCTATATATGATTATTTTCCCAAAACAATTTTTTGAAAGTGAGTTGATTGTGACTGACAGGTCACAAACAATATGTAGGTGTTGCCATAACACCACAGATATCGTACCCAATCGCCCAACGTAGTCGATTCAGACGTTTTTGACGGGTCATTGACATGTCCCCAAATGGCGGACAGGCCCGGATGTCGACAGCTCGCAGTCGTCCCACACTGTGTTCCTGTTGATGCGGTGACCCAACAATTTTAATGCATGTTAATGAAAATAACATCGACCCCCACCCCCAAAAAAAAACAACAACAAAACAAAAAACAAACAAACAAAAACAAAAAATAAAACCCAAAAAACAACAAATGTGTATACTTATTTTTGTACGTCAGTTTACATTAGCCATACGCTCCTACCACTTAAGAACTACTCTTGCTCTTGCCTACACAGTCATGTGTGATGGGCGTGGTCACTCTCGAGGAAGAATACATCACCCAGTGGGCGAGTAAGCGCAACATCAACAAAACACCTGCTGAATTAGCGACAGACAAGGTTCGTAGCGAAGCCCCTTCAAACAAACAAACTCAAAAGAAATCGATTTCAATGTTATAAGCTCAAATCATCAAATAATTTGTAAATATGAAAGGTCAACTCGTGAGAGGAACGACTCTCTTTTGTCCACCAAAACTGATTCCGTTGGCTCAAAAGGCAAAAGATCGATTAAAATTGCACAAAAAGGATCACAGAAGTGTCTAGATGGCTACAGGTGTTCACTAAAATGGCATCACGAATCTCTTGGTTTTCATCATTGTGTGAACGAGTCGTACTCAATCCCGGACATAACGAATTTTTAAGGATGTTCAAACTAATTCGTCAAAACACAATTCCAAGAACACGATGATATGGAAGGGTGACTAATTACTTGGTGGAAATGATATGCCCAAATTCGCCATGATGATCGGTAAAATATGTTTATTGTCAAATGTGAATCATTCATGCGCAAATACAGTACTCAATCCCGGACGTAACGAATTTTTAAGGATGTTCAAATTAATTCGTCAAAACACAATTCCAAGAAAACGATGATATAGAAGAGTGACTAATTACGTAGAGGGTAATGTCCGAGTAACTCTCCATTCCTTAAAAATAATGGAGCCGAGGCACATTATTTTTAAGGAATGGAGAGTTACGAGGATATTACCCTACTTAAATTACTTTCGAAGTATTGGGAATATTTCTGTTATCAAAATTAAATGTGAAAATGACAAAATGAAGGTTTTATTTTGAAACTGGTACACATCGCTCCATTCCTGAAAAGTAATGGAGCGAACAGACAATGGAATGACGTCACAAATGTAATTTAATTGGTGGAAATGATATGCCCAAATTCGCCATGATGATCGGTAAATATATGTTTATTTTCAAATGTGAATCATTCATGCGCAAATACAGCACTTACTTGGTTTATGTTTCTGTGTACCTCTTCCGCTCCAGGACTTGAAAGCAGCTGTCCTAGCCGGCATGTTGTCAGCGGGCAAGAGCGGAGGCCTCAAGGGCTTTGAACAGGTTAATATACAACATTGTCTCTTAGCACTAAGTCACTTATTTATACAACAAGAAAAGCATTTTCTCGATATACTTGAAATTTAAAAGTTGTAACCTTTGTCGTTCATGTTTGAATTGGATTCAAAATTTTAATTGAATGAAAACAAAATGTGTTTTTCGCAGGTAAAACGTGTTGATCGTTTCATTTCATCAATACCGCCTGAAACGTTTTGTTCTGGCAAAAGTGAATGAACGTAGTTTTAAAGCTGACTTATCAATAACAAACGTCCCCATGACGTGCGTATAGTTACATGTTGGAGGGCAGACACGGGGTTTTCGAAAAGGATCCGTCACCAAGCCAAGGGTCGTAAAGGTTTGAGGAGTATTTTAGGGTCATCAATGTGTGAAACCCATTTCTGGTGTCCCCCGCCTTGATATTGCTGGAATATTGCTAAGAGTGGCGTACAACCATACTCACTCATTTTAGTGTCATGTCCACAATCACCTTGAATTATCACGTGGTGTGGTTGAAGAAACCTCGAGTAAACAAACACGTGACGCACTGACAATGGTAACACGTGAACGTTTCGCCTTCTGGTGAAGTAAAATATTAACTATTGACACTAATGTTATATTTCCAGGTGAAAGACATCTATATATTCCCTGAACTCTTCACGGTGGAGAACGGGTTCATTACCCCCAGCTTCAAGACAAAACGCCCAGTTCTGCGGAAAGCATTCAAGAAGGAAATAGATGCAATGTACGCCAAGCAGTAAACGTGCTGCCTGAACGCAAGACCAGAAATACTCACCTCACTGGTCTTGGCCCTGCCGGGCATATAAGGAAATTCCAAAGTTCGAAATAGGATTATAAAAACATTTCGTTAAGTTCTGAGACATAAAAACTCCCTCCATATCCCCCCAAATAGTTGTGAAATTGTTGATGTCAACGTTGTTGTTGTTGTTGTTGTTGTTTTTTTGTGTGTGTGTGTGTGTGTGCGTGCGTGCGTGTGTGTGTGTTTGCGTGCATGCATGCATGTGTGTGTATGTGTGTGCAGCACTTCAATTGCTGTTTACTTGAAGGTTGTTGTTTTTTTAAATTGTTCCCCTCGGATTACAGTCTTGAAACAAAACAAATAATATTTCGCCCAGCTGAATTTCGAAGAAAATGTTGAATAATATGGTGACGCGGTTAGCAGTTGCGTTCATGAAAATTAACCTAGACAGTGGTGATCATCATATATCATTCATATCACTAAACTAATAACACTCTAGGGGCGTTGGGGTAGCTTAGTGGTTAAAGCGTTCGCTAGAACCCGGGTTCGATTCCCCACATGGGTACAATGTGTGAAGTCCATTTCTGGTGTCCCCCGCCGTGATATTGCTGGAATATTGCTAAAGCGGCGTAAAACCATACTCACTCACAAATAACACTCGGCTGTTGGGTAGTATCTGTCTAGTGCTGGTTGTACACTCGTCTAGCTGTTGGGTACATGTATCTGTCTAGTGCTGGTTGTACAGTGCATGGATATCTGTCTAGTGCTGGTTGTACAGAGCATGGATATCTGTCTAGTGCTGGTTGTACAGTGCATGGATATCTGTCTAGTGCTGGTTGTACAGAGCATGGATATCTGTCTAGTGCTGGTGGGTATCTGTCTAGTGCTGGTGCATGGATATATCTGTCTACAGTGCTGGTGCTGGTTGTACAGTGCATGGATATCTGTCTAGTGCTGGTTGTACAGTGCATGGATATCTGTCTAGTGCTGGTTGTACAGTGCATGGATATCTGTCTAGTGCTGGTTGTACAGTGCATGGATATCTGTCTAGTGCTGGTTGTACAGTGCATGGATATCTGTCTAGTGCTGGTTGTACAGTGCATGGATATCTGTCTAGTGCTGGTTGTACAGTGCATGGATATCTGTCTAGTGCTGGTGGATATCTGTCTAGTGTATCTGTCTAGTGCTGGTTGTACAGTGCATGGATATCTGTCTAGTGCATGGATATCTGTCTAGTGCTGGCTTGTACAGTGCATGGATATCTGTCTAGTGCTGGTTGTACAGTGCATGGATATCTGTCTAGTGCTGGTTGTGCTGGCTGTACGGTGCATGGAGTGTGCATGGATATCTGTCTAGTGCTGGTTGTACAGTGCATGGATATCTGTCTAGTGCTGGTTGTACAGTGCATGGATATCTGTCTAGTGCTGGTTGTACAGTGCATGGATATCTGTCTAGTGCTGGTTGTACAGTGCATGGATATCTGTCTAGTGCTGGTTGTACAGTGCATGGATATCTGTCTAGTGCTGGTTGTACAGTGCATGGATATCTGTCTAGTGCTGGTTGTACAGTGCATGGATATCTGTCTAGTGCTGGTTGTACAGTGCATGGATATATGTCTAGTGCTGGTTGTACAGTGCATGGATATCTGTCTAGTCTGGTTGTAGTGCTGGATATGTACAGTGCATGGATATGTCTAGTGCTGGTTGTACAGTGCATGGATATCTGTCTAGTGCTGATTGTAGTGCATGGATATCTATCAAGTGCTAGGCAAATAGCGCTTATAGACACAACAAATTCACATTTATCTTAATTCAAATCGGTTTAGTTTATCTAGAGGTTGCATGATTTCATTTGTAAATACGGGTAGTGTGAGAACAAAAACTGACTGAACTTTCTCAAAACTGGATAAACCTTTTATGTTTTCTGAATGTCAGAGTCGTTTTCTGTCAAACCGCATTCTTTAATCTGAGACTATGTTAACAGAGTGTGGATGCAATCTCTCTTTGTAAAATATACAATGATTGTGCATAACTCTTTTCTTTGTGTGCACATTGGATACATTTGTTATGATATTCATGTTTTGTACATGTACTTTTTCAGCATGTTTCTCACTCTATGAGGATACAGCTATGCAATGTATGCATTCATGATAAACGACGATGTCGCAGGGTAGTGGTTTCTAGATAGCAACAGCTGTTATGTCAGTAGTTTGTGAATGTTTTGCATTCAAACATACGTTCACAAACACACAAACATACATACATACATACATACATACATACATACATACATACATACATACATACATACATACATACATACATACATACATACAGACAGACATATAGTTGCCTTGATTGGTATTACGTTTTATCAAAATAACAAACGAAGACACTTTATTTGCACTATGCAATAAAACATGTTCTCTACAGAATTCCGTTCTTGTGTGTGTATCACTACGACAGAGGAGGCTTAATGGGGATTAGCTATCTCCAATATGTTGTCTAGGCTACTGGTATGGCCTGTCATGTCATCAAACATTCCCACCTGTATTCCTATATGACGGCGGTGTTTATACATTTAGGTCCTGGTTCATAGCATAAGCAGTTACACACTGACGTACGGGGCGGTGGGGTAGCCTAGTGGTTAAAGCGTCCACTCGTCACGCCGAAGACCAGGGTTCGATTCCTCACATGGGTACAATGTGTAAAGCCCATTTCTGGTGTCCCCCGCAGTGATATTGCTGAAATATTGCTAAAAGCGGCGTAAAGCCCAACTCACTCACTCACTCACGTGCAGCCGGCCGTGCCTGAAAGGCTGCCCACCCGATCCCCATGTCAGTGTTTTACTACAAAAGTATACTAGCAATTGCTTGTTTTAAATCCCCACCGCAACTGGTTTGATGTTGTATTTTTACAGATAAAGACCTAACGACAGCCGTACAACAACATTTAGTCAAATTATTGTTAGTTCGCCTACATTGTTTATAGAAAGTTACGATTCAGAATGAGGAAACATTATATATTTTCTCCACGAGGAGCACTAACAAACAGCTGGGCGCCCATTGAAATCTGTTATGGTAATGTCGTCTGTCACGCTTGCATCGTGTCTATGCAAGGATGCGGGAAATGGGGTTTTCATCAAGACAAATATTGACTAAATACAGACGGAAATACAATGAGGCATGTATACCCGACGAATATTTCTGTTTTCCGTCCTGTTACAATTACGTTCCTAAGGCCACAACTATATACTCAACAACAAAAATTAAGCACCATTCCAATTTTCAATATTAAAGTATTTAATAATTCATAGTGTGATCCATATAATGCTTAAATATTGGGGCGGTCCTTTTTGGTTGAGTATATTTGGCATAAAGGGTAAAAATGGATTCAATAGTAAACAGGAGAGGGTAGTCCACCTGCCAAATTGTATTTTGTTTGAATGTAAAAATCCTCCTGATTATCACCGTCGGTTTGTAAGCAGCATACCCGAACTGTTATGTAACAAGTTTGATAAACCTCGAAGAACTGGGTGGATGGGTTTCATATGCACATTAAGCTGAGCCATACAGTTAAACTCTTGTTCAAAGCGCCGTTGGACCCAACACACCCACGTTTGGAGAATTATTACCTAGTTTTGTCTTCCTGCAAACGGGAGGTAGGGTAGCATAGTGGTTAAGGCGTGCGCTCGTCACGCCGAAGATTCCCCAAATAGACGCAACGTGTGAAGCCCGTTTCTGGTGTCCCCCGCCGTGATATGCGGCGTAAAACTAAACTCGCTCACTCACTCACCCTTCCTGTTAAACAAATTCGTTTTCCAATCTAAAATGCGTCACTCTGTCTTGAAGTTCTATGATAACGTAAATATAAACAAACTGAATATATAACGTGTCACGGTTGGGATTACACGTCCTCAGTAAAGTACAGATTCTTGTACGTATTTGGGTTGTGTTCGACCCGGGATTTAAACCTCAGAGTGAGGAATCTAATCACCCACACACAATGACATTGTGTGATCAAACTGAATATATTCACAACCACTTGGATTATTGCCATTTCAAACAATCGCGGTCCTGTCAACAACATTTTGTTGTGTATAGTGAGTGAGTGAGTTGGGTTTAACGCCGCTTTAAACATTATTCCAAAAAGACACTTGACTGGAACAGACTGTGTATTGGACGGGTAGTCAAACTGGGAGTAGTCATAATGTGCATGAACCGTTTTACACCGCTTTTAGCAATATCACGGCAGGGAACGCCAGAAACGGGCTTCACATATTGTACCCATGTGGGCGAGCAAACACTTTAACCACAAGGCTACCCAACCGCCCCTTGGACGTGAGCGAGGTATGTGGGTACAGTCCGTTTGATACAGAATGATACCGATGAATTGCAATCTAACACAAAAACAAATAGACATAAAACAATAAAACCAACGCGGACTGCAATAAACACAACAGACCAACTCTAGAAAAAAAATGGCATAATTTGTGTCACAAAAATAAAAAAGTTGTTTAAGAAACTGTCATCATATATTTGTGCGTTTTCCCAGTTTGTTACAAGGGCGCATTGGCAACTACAGGAACAGCGCGAAAAGCGAGATGCACGTGCGTTAACAGGTTCTCAACAAATTTTTGAGCTGGCGAGATGACACGTACCCCAGCTGCACAGGCAGTGCGCTGTATGTACTTAGTAATTGCATACTTGGGTCACCCCCTGTCATTTTCATCCTTGAAGAAATCATTCATTTTCTCTCACTTTGTCAATCAGCAGTAATCGCATGTCTCTGACGTCACTAGTGCACGTGCATCTCGCTTTTCACGCTGTTCCTTTTAGTTGCCATTGTTTTATGTCTATTAGTTTTTGTGTTAGATTGCAATTCATCGGTATCATTGTGTCTCAAACTGACTTACTTAGGTACTGACTTATCATATGTTATGGTTGTTACAATGTGTACAAAAGTAGTAGATTACGTGTTTAAGTAATGCATACATCTCTTTAGTAATTATACTATTCACACTTTGCTAAGGATCAAATCATGGATTCAACAGAAAACTATGATGTGGGGTCAAATTTGGTTTAAATATCTATGCTTATTGTAAGTATGGATCCTAGGTTTCAGTTTGTCATTTCGTCTTATGGATCCCATACCTGCTATTGACAAGTGTTGTGTACTTGTCAATGACTCGTTCCATGATTTGCAAAATGGTTGATTGGTGCCATGAAACCGTTTTTATGGTTACTCTTGTATCAAGTGCATAAGGTTAGATTAAAGTGAGTGTTTGCCTAAAGAGGGGTTACCATATTGTTATTTATCCAGTTTTAAATGGATACAATTTCAAATCATAAATCTACGTTTAAGTAAAGTTGTGAGAATTTTTGTGATCCTTAGTAGTGTGAGTAGTATAGTACGCTTGATCATGTATACAATTTTAGTGCATATAATCAAACATATGGTACATATTTATCTATACACTTTGCTTTAAGTTGTAAATGATTAAAAAGAAGAGAAATAATCAAATCTACAGTTCTTTTCAATAAAGAAAGCATTCTTTTGTAATTGATTAAAGAGTTTTGGAAAACAGGTTCACCAGTTATTCGAATATACACAACGAACACTGAATTCAAACGATTCGGTGCCCTGATAGTCGAGAGGCTGTACGTAGTCTTGTGGATAGAGTTCTCACTCGTCACGCCGAAGGTCTGGGTTCGATTCCCCACATGGGTACAATGTGTGAAGCCGATTTCTGGTGTCCGGGTTCGTGATATTGCTGGAATATTGCTAAATGTGGCGTAAATCCCAAATTACTACTTCTCACCCCAGACTTTCAAAATTGTTCAATGCATTTTTGCAAAGGTTAAGAATTCCTTATTTAAATCAGAATTAAAACAACAAGATGATAAAAGTGTTATCATGAGTCCTCACCTAACATATCTTGTGAGATGAACAATTTGCAAGTTAATTCAGATGTTGTTTACAGGCCGACATGGCAACGTTGAAATATGATCAGCTCTGACACGAGTGAAAACTATTTTTAGTTTCAGACACCGACTTGATCACAAGGGGTAGTTGATTTCATAGGCAACGAACCACAACACAAGGCACAAGGACATTGTCACATATTGTCACATGACCAACTGGACTTCACAGAGGATTCCATTAAACTTCGGATCACATGACAGTACATCTGATTCTACATTCTATGTGTTTTCATATTCAACTGAACAGAAAAAATATCTTCCTGCTTCATTACGACATTAATCTTCCTGTTTCGATACATGACACAAAAATGAAAGTGCTTGTGTGAATGTACATGTTAACACCATTTTCCGGTCATCATTATGCACGTGGAAAACATGCATCCCATACAAAGTGTGAGCGACTTTTGTCGTAGACACAATAATGCTTTCTTGACGGGCAAACAATCGGGTCAAAGTTCAACTGTTATGAAAACCTCCAAAACTTGCTGGCTCGTTACGTTTGTGATTCTGTCACGGTCTAATAGTCCAGCTTGAAGGTTCTGTCGTATGTGCTGTAGTCACGGACAGGGAAGGTCAGCTCTCAGTTTGCGAAGGAAATTCGGATTCGAGAGGTAGGTAAGCATATTACTGTGAATATAGATTGCCGAAACGTTATCAGCGCTGCATGTACTTTCATGGTGACAGGCAGAGCAATCAGTATATCATTATTATAGTTAGCAGGTGACATTGTGTGTTACTAGGTCATAGACGTTCTGCTATCTTAAATTGTCTTACTTTGACGTAACGATTATAATCCCTCGTCGGCTACAAATACTATCAGTTGTACCTTGACAGTCGGACTGTTCAGGCTGCACGTCCACGTGTATATAGCTTGTATCGTGAGAGGACATGGCTATTGCTTTTTATGTGCTTTTCCGGCATTCAGTCTATTCATAGACCACAAATAGACCTGTACTCGCCCTTGTGTAGACAGGCATACGTTAAACTAACATCGAACATTAGAGCCCGTTCATAATTTATTTCTAGGAGGGTGATAATGGTTTTATGGAGCAGCATGTACGATGTGACTGCCCTACTCCCCTAAAATTTATGTACAAAGTAAGTGACCCCCCTGCATGTCGTGTACAAAATCATTTCCCCCTTCCCCTTCCCATATTTTGTAAGCATACTTTTATCATATTTGCATGTACAGAATTGCTGACCCCCCTAGTACATGTGTTCAAAATTGATGACCCCCTACCTCCCCAGAACAAAATGAGTGACCCCTCCTCCCTTAAATTCATCACCACCCCCTAGCCATAAATTATTAACGGTCCCTTACCGTCCTGAATATGAACACACTTTCATCTTGTTACATTTGATACTGATAAGATATTACATATAAAGTAATATATACCGCTTGTTGATAGTAACATATCACTAGACAACTCGCGTGACATCTAGCTTGCTATCTGGTGTATGAGTTATATAATCTGTGAAATGATGTATAAACGAACTTATGTCATGTGATTCGACCCCATATGCATATTGTTTGTCTATGCTGTTTCTAAGAGTTTGTATCACAGAAATCTAGTTAGAACATGCTTATGATATTTCATCGAAACTTGTACATGTAAAGTTCAATATCTATTCATCTGAATGACCTACACTAGATCACGTGAGCACGGCGTCTGAAGGCTGGCTGACAATAGCATGGTAATGACCCTCTTTCTATATAAATATGGACACCACGCAAAGGTCAGTGTATGCATGCCTGTCTGTGACAGTCCCTGTGTACAAAGTTCGATGAATATTATCCTGACTTTGACTGACTCCCGGTTTTCACTACCTCGTCCGATATAATGACTTCCTATATGGTGACGTATGCAGCGCCGTATATCGAGGAAACTTCAGTCTAACGCGTAGCTGTCGAGACCTGTACCCATTTTTATCTGGACTGTTTGTTCACTGGAAGTCTTTCATAACCAAGAGTATTATGTTTTATGTATTATGGCTTTACAAACTATTCTAAATCCAGTGTTGCAATATCTCTGAGGGTTTATCGAATACTAATACCATGTACGAGAAAGGTAAAGCGGATTTATTCCCGGAACAATGAAATACTGAGACTTCAAGCTGGGATCTTAATCCCACACGATCCTGAAAAGCAAAGCACATGGCAAAGAAAATTTTCCTTGTCACCTCCAAAAGCAAGATAATTTCAATTTTTTGTTGAACCAGTTACTTTTTACCTTTCAGCTATGCTGTGAATGTTAGTCTATTTTCGTGCTCGTTATTGATAAGAGCTGATAATTTGAGCAGATAGCCAACTATTGAAGATTCGGTGTGTACTATATGTACTAAGTTTTCAATTTGTGATTTCATTATTACAAATACAGTACTATAAAAATAAATATGTAATATAATCAGCAACAACGTCAGTGTTTGAATGTGTTTCTAAACAACGCTAACATTAGACCGTCTTTACAATGGGGAATAACGTTCACAGTAATCTACAGTTATAACGAAGTTTAATGGCTACAAATTTTAGTTCGGCAGAATTTCGGCTAAAATGTACAGCTAGCGGGCCACTAAAATGCCAGTTCGTTATATGCGTCAGTTCGATATAAGCGTATTCGACATACTGTATATTCAATTGAAGCTGGACTAGACAATGTAGGAAAATGTCCGTGTTCACATGTTTTTTACCTCGCTGAGTTTTCATTATATTCATACCTGACGGAGGGGCGGTGGGGTAGCCTACTGGTTAAAGCGTTCGCTCGTCACGCCGAAGACCCGTGTTCGATTCCCCACATGGGCGCAATGTGTGAAGCCCATTTCTGGTGCCCCCCGCCGTGATATTGCTGGAATATTGCTAAAAGCGGCATAAAGCGATACTCACTCACACACTCACTCATACCAGACGGCCATTGTGACCAGTCAATACTCATTCGTATATCACATGTGTGAGGAAATTCACTGCATGAAATGTCTCACATGAACAATCATTCACGTTTTCACTTTCTACACAGCATTTACATTTATGAGTAAATATGTTTTTAACGTTCTGAAAGATGTGGATCTATGTAACTTTGAGCTTTTCGCGCACAGCAAGCTGAAACGCAAAGCATTTCGTGAAATGAGGCGTCAAACCAAGCTCACACTCTGACTAAGACACTGTCATAGCTCTGTGACATGTACCTTTCCTTGGTCATTAGAATGATTAGGGATTGGGTAGAGTACGGTTAATAGCTTCTGAGTACTACACATATCTTTTACTGCTTATTTATAGATGTAAAATACAAACACAACAATGATATACATGGTGAAGCTATTAAGATGTCACATAATTGTATACGGGTGTATATCTTATTTTTATAGTGGTGTCAAACAGGGTTGCATACTAAGCTCTGTTCTTTTTTCACATTTTATTAACAGAATTCGAAACTAGTCACAGACCTATTACGTGACAGAAAAAGTGTTGGTATGAAATTTTGAGTTGTGTTTATTATTACTAGCGTCGAAAACGCTTCAACCCCACTTGAAGCTGTTGGAAGCGGAGTTACATCAAACTCCATCACTTAGCATATGTTGAAAACGAGTGACGCATGCCCCTTTGATGTGATCTCGTGATCGTCAACATGTAGAACGCAGTTATCTCCCCTGGTTTGTGAACTCAAGCACAGTGCATCATCCCTTATCCCTTATCAACCCTTCCCTGCTATATTAGTGAGGCGGTATAAGCTAGCTGCAGTTACTACATCATGATCAGCTGAAGGTAAGACGTGCGTGGATAATACTGTGTTAAACGCTAGGAATAGGGATCGATATCAAATGACAAGCACATATACATGTAAATACAGGACGTTCTTGTATATGATGTTGAATAGGATGTCTCGAGATCGCCTGGTCCAGACTCGATTATTTACGGACATACATGCGGAGTATTGCTGAATGTGGCATTAAAAAAGGTGTGGGTACTAGATTGCTGATTAGAAAACGTGCACTGAATAATTAGCGACGTGGACGTGAACACATTCTCATGGGCGGCGAGTAGGTGGATTTACTCGGCGTTTAGCAATATCAAGAAACGGGCTTCACACATTATACTTATGTGGGGAATCGACCCCGAGTCCATGCGTGACAACCGAACACTTTAACTTCTCGGCTACTGCAATACCCAACTGTTCCTTGGACTTGGAAACAGGTGCAGTATCCATTGGGTGGCCTTACGGTTAAAGTGTACTCTCGTCTTCTTGTACATCTTGGTTCGATTCTCGACGATGGTCCTGGTTTCCTCGCTGTGTTATTGCCTGGTTATTGCTAAAATAGCAAAACATAAAAATACTCCGTGATTAATATGACATCATAAACAATGCACGAAAATTCGTCACGCTATGTCGAGCTATGCGTATAGATCCGTCATTTAAACGTATGATTTAATTGATAACTTATTAAACTACATGTATGTGAACATATGCATATGTAATTCTCCAAAGTTTATGTTAATAGTATGTTTTGAAATGGAAATGAACTAAAGCTTTATCTAAATGCATGATCCTATCTTGAACCTACGATATCGTTAAGTACCCATTACGAGGAGTAACTCAACTATTTTTACATGTCAAGTATTATTCTAATCCTTTCTCAATATAGATTTGGTAATGATATTGCAATTTATATACCGCAACACCCTGCACCACAGACGACATACACAAAGACCCAACGGGCGGTGGGTAGCCTAATGGTTCGAGACCCCTTATGGGTACAATGTGTGAAGCCAATGTTTGGTGTCCCCCGCCGTGATATATCTGGAATAGTGCTAAAAGCGGCGTACAAACTCTCACTCACTCACTCATCTATCTCACTCACTCACTCACTCAAACCCCCACCCTCTACCATATGTGAGTTACGACCACCTAAGCGCTTTCTATAACGGCCATGGTCAAGGGTTCAATGTCACTGTGTATTCAAATGTCATTCTAATAAATAAGGGCTAGCTGGATCGTCGATAATGATTAAAGGATTACCCTATGTTGAGTTAATCTACTGGCAGGGATTCGTAGCTGTGACAACTTACCGCTCGAGTTGGTTTCAGTTTGAGCACGCTAATTCTGCAACGTGATATGGAGAATGCAGTTGTATCAGCTAAGACCAATAGCAGTAACAGGATCCCTCAGGCTGTTCATATTTTACACTATAGCCAGTCCCAGTGAGTGAGTGAGTTTAGTTTTACGCCACACTCGGCAATATTCCAGCTATGTTTTGGCGGTCTGTAAATAATCGAGTCTGGGCCAGACAACCCGGTGATCAACAGCGTGAACATCGATCTAGGCAATTGGGATACGATGACATGTGTCAACCATGTCAGCGAGCCTGACCACCCGATCCCGTTAGTCGCCTCATACGACAAGTCGGCGTAAAACTAAGCTCACTCACTCACTGGGGACTGGCTATAAATGGTGTAAAAACAAGCAACAAGCATGGGTTACTGAAGATCAATTCTAACTCGGATCTTCACGGGTCAGTCCCGACGACTCCCCTGTGAATCGCATTACCTATCTTAAAGGATAATGTTGATGATAGCACCTTGAATGATAACATTCTAACACTGACCAATGTCGAGTTTCAAGGTA